CACTTTTATTGTTGTAAATTCACTGTTCTCTCTTCATATATATATATTTTAAACATATATTAAGGTCATAAATGCTCCTCTTCAAACTACATATACTGGTGGATTTATAGGCCGATTTTGAAAAGGTGGGCAAACCAGGAAGCCCAACCTGATCAATGTGCACAGCAGCAGCAAATGCCCCTCTCCAGGGACAAGGGAAAATTTATATATATATATATATGTAGATGTATATATACACACACAGCCCCCTGCCAGGATGCCCCAGGCTGGGGCTGAGGCTGAGAGCAGGACGTGCTCTGACCAGGCAGGCGCGGGCTAAGCTGCACGCTGTGGGAGGCACTGGAGGACGGATTTGGGAGTCCCAGCAAAACAGGGCACGAGCTTCCTCTGAGCCTATAGAAGTGCTTCCCCTTTCTGTGCCTGCACGCCCAGAGTGGGAGGGCTGGGAGGCCAGGGCTGGGGTGTGCAGGCTTCCCAATGGGACTGCTTAGGTTGGCAGCGCTATGCAGGGGAAATCCACTGCTCTGTGGGCACTGTGCTTGCAAGACATTCCCAGTGTCACAGTAAATGTGGAGACCCATTTCCCAACCTAGCTGAGTGTCAGGGAGCATGGGAATGCTGTGGCCCAAGAGGTGAAACCTGCCTCAGCAATTTTCCAACCTGAAAAAAATGTGGGAAAGTTACTGACTGGAAGCATGGAAGGCTCTGAGCAGTGAGAGCCCTGGCTGGGAGGGCCAGCGTGGTCCAACCAGGGCTGCTGGTGTCATCCTGCAGCAGTACAAGGCACTACCCTTGCCTGGGCAGACACACTGGCACTGCCACCACCTCCTCAGAAAGGGAAAAGGCACTCAAGTTTTTGGCTCCTCTGACAGTTGCAGCAGCCAGCTGGAAGGCTTGCTCTGCTGAATCTTAATCCTGTGGCCATGGAGGAGGGAAAAACAGTGATTTTCCCCTCCCCAGTGCACCAGGCTTGCATGATGAAGGGAGGGCGAGTCCCTGTTCCTTCACATTCCTTACAGAAGTTGCCTTCGTATGACTTCCTCTGATAGCCCAACTCAGACAGGGCAACCCCAGAGGCTCAGGGGCAGATCCTGGCTCTGCCGATAGCAGCACCATGCTGGCATCCCCGCACTCCAGCAGCCGGGAACTGAGACATATTCAAGGCAGGGGAGTCACTGGAGGAGCCCGACTTGGGAGTCCCCACTGTGAACCTGCCTCCTGTGGAGGTCAGGCCATAGCCAGGCCCTCCGCATGGCTGTGGATGTGGGCTGTGCTAGACACACTGCTCTCCTCTTTGTAACTT